GAATATATGTCTTATTCTTTTATTCACTCAAACCATTGTATTATAGAAAATAGAAAAGAACAAAAGTTCAGCTGTGTCCGAACTCTTATCAAACTAATACCATGCAGTGACTCTAAGTTCGATAAGTGTTCGGACACAGAAATGACAACTGTTAGTGTTTTTGAATGTTTAGATTCACACACCTTGCATTGTAACAACAGCATCATAGTCGTTCCGCGCTTTTTCATTCAGAATTGTTCGAATTTGACAATGAATTTTATGAACGAAACTGAGGAAATCGAGTAAATTGCAACGTGATAAAATATCATTAAATAGCGTTTTCAATACTGACCAAATTCAAAATTCAGGCGCTACTAGGGGAATTGAGGAGACAAAGAGCAAAATATATGTCTTATTCTTTTATTCACTCAAATGTAATATAGAAAATAGAAAAGGACAGAAGTTCAGCTGTGCCCAAACTCTTATTCAACTAATACCATCCAGTGACTCTATCTGTAAGGAGTAGCAGTGGATTGAAGAAATCTGGTAGATTTGAAAATCAATACCTTACAGGTCGTTCTATTTTGTAGATCGAAAGTTCACCGTCACCTTTGGAACAAGAAATTGAAAATATGTTTTACCAAAACAATTTTGGCCATAGTGGTAAATTCGAATAACTAATATTTACTAAAAGTCAATTTTGGTGACGATGAAAATTGTTCGAAAACCTATATCAGTACCCCAATAAACTCAGTAGGCTAACTTCGTCTACTTGCATTCTGGGAGAAACTCCCTATACAAACTACATATACCTGACAACACAAATTTTCCTAGACAGTACTTCTTTTAGAAATCTACTCGATATAATGAAATGAAGATAAGTTTATCCGAATAAGAGTCAGAAAAATATATAGCCCATCACGCTAAGCGCTTTCCAAACAATTCTCGTATGTAGGATATTTAGTCTGAAGATTGAAATAGTTATAAAATGAGTCAAAATCTTTTATTCATTCATTCATTCATTCATTCATTCATTCATTCATTCATTCATTCATTCATTCATTCATTCATTCATTCATTCATTCATTTATTTTACTGTGAGGACCAAAAGTCCGTCATCCCCATAACTTCTTTAATTCACATATTACAAAAAAGTTTGATGGATGATTTAATATCACAAGACTCAATAGTTATGGGATTATCTACACTTGTACACTATTATTTCGACTATTTTTGCACCAGTCCTAACATTTAGAAAACTTTTATAATTTTTGTGAAATATATAATATGAATAAATTACGGAGGGGAGCGACTGACTTTTGGTCACCACTCTATATCATGCATTAGCCTACTTCTTATAATATGACATTCGAAGAATTTCTCACCACTTAAGACAAGGACAAAATTATTTTATAATCTTTTGAGCAATGTTGATAATAAATTAAATGAAATTGATCATATTCACACCTACACAAAGAATATGCTACCTATTTGATTTGCTTTTGTTTTTTCAGTATCTTCAACTTATTATATCTCCACACAAAGCAAAACGTTGAAATAAAATATAGGCTTCACCCAACATGATTTATACTGTTTTAAAATAATTTCTTAAGGTTCAAATTTGAACCAATATAATACCTTCAACTTTTTTTATACTTGCATTTCATTATTAATCACTATGACAATTTTTTTTGACACATCACCTTGTTTACTAAAACCCTATGACACAGTGTTTACCAATAACCTACATATTTGAGACCCTTCACACTATAACCACAGTTTACTATTAATCACAATACACAAACCATGAAGCACAATTATTAAAGCTGTAAACTTGGAAACCCCTCTAATAATAATGTGTTCACAAGTAGATGGTAGAGTAGAGAGAAACAATTACAGTGCATTGAAAATTGAATTAAATGTGATATGATGACTACTTTTGATTTAATTGAATTTCACTATGACAGCAAGAAATAGAATTTACAATTATAATAAAAACATGCTTATCATTGTTCTTGATGAGCATATGCTATAGTTATAGCGTCCCTTAACAAAGCATATTTTGCAATGATTCTCAGACAAGTCAATTTTATTTTTTTGTGCATCTTTTAACCGTATTGAGAATAAACATGATAGGAATATACAGGGTGATATGCTTTGAAGTGATGATGAAACTGTCAGTCTCTCTAATAGTGAGCCTAGTATTTTATTTCATAATTGAATATAGATAGATATTATGATAATTCTCAGCAGGATATGGAATGATATACATAATGTAAATGTGCCTACCTATTTCATTTTAAATGAAAGCAGAGAACACCCTGAATATATTTGTTTCAAGTTGAATATCATACTAGGATGAGACATAGTTTGTTGTTCTTTGACTATTCCATGAATTGAAATTTGTAGTGTCTTCATTTGAATATGACTGAGAGTATTTCACTAAATAACAAGTATTTTGAAATAGCACAGTTAATTAAATTTTATACTGATCAAATACTCTACCACAATCATCACATGACGCCAAAATCTAATGAATTGTTTCGATAACAATATTAGGTAAATTACCACAATGTACGATGCAAAATGAGCGCGATGCTCTCTTGCAGATTTCATGTAATCAAGTGAAAGTGCTGTAATGATATTCCCCCGAGAGGGGCTAGAACATCATCAAGAAGGCAGGATAACAACGATCCACCTGTATCGCGCATCTCAGATTGTTCTCGAACATACCAATAATTCTAATATGAATCAGCATATTCTCGAACACCCAATATGTGTCGAGGAGACAGAACGTGATAGAAAATTCTGGAATCATCTCAAAACAACCGATGGAACGATTACAGAGAAAGAGAGATAATGTTCTAAGAAGCTTCTGGAACAAGAGAAGGGTACGAAAGATTTTCGAGAACGTTCGACAAGCATAACCTGTCAAGGGATGTAATATACAGGATTTCTATAGATGATCATAACATAATTGTAGCTGTTGAAATACTTTCTTCATTTGCCCCCTTTTATTTATGGAGAATCACACCTTCGTATTTTATTTCTGACATCAATCACTATAGTTTTTCCTTAGAATTTCCAAACAATTCTGTTTACTACTTCGTGATTGTCGAAGCAGAATACATTTCTTGTAATGTCTTATTTTCCAAAAAGCACATTCATTAATGGTGGATGGAATTACTCGGTAGTGGACTGCAAGGAAGAGTACCTGGCGAAATATCTTGATATACATATTCAAGAATCTTCTTTGAAAGCCCACATCAGAACAGTGATCAACTGATTCATCCAAACTGGAACCGTAAATCAAAATAAATCAACAGGAAGGCCCCAAGAATCAAAGAGGTTGTCGTAAAACTGAGGGCGCGTGTAGATCAAAATACCCAAAAGTCTTTGAAGAGATTATTTTTACAATCTGGTTTGCATATGCACTCTCACAAGATCAGTGTACTACAGCAAGTTCTGCCAATAGATATTCCACGTCGTCTGGAGTACTGCCAATGGTTCCAAAGTGATTTCAACAGTGACCAGTTATTGGACCTAACATTTTTTAGTGATGAGGCCTCGTTTCATTTGTCGGGATACGTAAACTCACAAAATTTTATATTTTGGAGATCTGATAATCCCCACAATTTCATTGATACTCCACAACATTCTCAAAAATTTTGGGTGTAGTAAGCAGTTTCTTCCATGGCACTATCAATAGTGGAAGGTATAGTCAAGTGATGGTTGCAACCATTCATTAATCATCTTGAAGATGAACAAATTCGAGTTGGCCATTTGCAGCAAGATAGGGCCTCTGCCCCACCACACCTGCAAATTTAGGATATTTACAAGAATTTTATGACAACCGCGTGATGTCAAGGAGATAATTGTTCTATCCCAACACGTTCTCCAGATTTGACGCCTTTGGATTTCTGCCAATCTGGACATTTGAAAGACGAAGTATTCAAGAGAGACAATAATAGCCTTGAAGAGCTGCAAGCCTCAATAACACATTGATGACATTGCTGCCAAAATATTGGCCCGGAAATGCTGAGGAACATTTTCAACAACAAACGGCGAAGAGTTATGAAATGCTTGGAGAACAACGGAAAACATTTTGAACATTTAATGTAGGTTAATGAAATAAACCGTTATTTATTCTTCAATGAATATTTTCGAATTGTTCTATTATTTCTCAAACTGTTGTACTTGCCTTTCTTTGAGATACATTTCCATAGTGTATGCAAAACTATATAAAAAAGATCATACAAATGATCACTTCCTCTCTTTTTGGCCGTTTCAGCATAGATAGAAAGCCGTAAATGTGAAAAAAATATCAACAGCCACTACGATGTTACCATCATTTATAGAGACCCTATATAAGGATGGCCGAACAGCAGCCGTCAGTCAGACAACCAGTAGGTGCCAAAGAGACACTGGTATACCGCGTGATTTGAACCGTTCAACATAAATAGTAGTTATAATTTTTTTATAAATTATTGTTCCTTTAGTAGATATAAATCAATTCGAAAATACATACTGTCAATGTTTGCTTCTGCACCCGAATAACGTAACAGTACAATAGAAGATGTTTGTCATCTAGATTTCTGGCATGTATTTAATGGGCCTAATATTTCAGTGAAAGAATGTTGTTCACTATTTTGAAGTAATAAAACAAACGATTTCACTATCATAAACCATTTTCTCCTCAGAGCTTAGATAAAATTTGATTAAATTCTATCATCATTTTTGAAAAATTATGTTAATTAAATAGGTTAGTTTCTACAAATGCTCAGTTGTCCTTCAGTAGGACCAATCAGGGCAAGGTCATTGTGGAAGTATTCTTCATGCAATTTTTGATGAAGTTATTGCTCATCTTATCGTAGGTACAACTTGAAGGGCAATTTTGATATTTGCTGCCGCATATTATTAATCAACCAATGGAACATGGAAATAGTAAGCATATTGAAAGACACTTTGGAAGGAAAACACGTTAAAAATATAAAATAACTTAATATATCAAATACCAACATCGATTTGAGTTTTACTCATATAAAAACAGGCAATGAAATATTCCTTTTAACAATATCTGAAACGTATGTCCACATTGTTAATAAGAGGAATATTCAAATTCGAGAATCACTACAAATATTAGGAATATCAGAGAAATAACAAATGTCTACAGGTGTACCTGGTTTGTTTAGTAATAAAATAACTCCGGGAAATTCTGTTCGTATGCAGGTACCGCAGCTTTCTTCTCATCGATGGGACTCCGATTTTCGTTGCTGTTCAGCGAATTGAATATCTCGTTTAGTTTTGTCTGTAGAACATCATGCTGCAAATAAACAATATTCACTCATGAATCCAGATTTTGAATTATTTTTAGTGACGTGAATTTGCCGCTAAATACTTTAGGAATGCCATAGTTGGCATTTTTCTAGTTGGTCGTAAGAATTTCTCGTTCAGGTGTTAACAAATAAAACAAAACCAACATTTATGAATCCTAATGGTGCTTGTTTCACAAATGAAAAAATCAATCACTATTTCAAAAATGTCAATAATAATAATAATAAAGTTTATTCAAAATGTTAACAAAATATTCTAAAAGTGAACATATTTGTAATGAATAACAAAGGAAACCTTACGAAGTATAACTTGTTGTGAGGTACAAAAAATAAAAATCATGATTATTAAAGCAAGACTATAAAACCGCATATAGGGAGTTCAAAAAGAATAACAGTAATCTCTTGGAATGAGCAAAAAAATACCACTATAGAAATAAAATTGTTGAATCAGATAATGAATTCAAAACAATGGGGTAGTTTATTGAAGAAGTGACAGGTACAGCCCAATCTGAAGAATTTGATTATTCTAAGCCAATGGAGCTAGCCAACAGTTTCAATAAATGCTTCACAGAAACTCCACTCCTCAACTCTTGTCAAAACAAAAATATATGTATTGGTGGGCGAGTAGTTTTGAAAGGTCAATAGCCTTTCAGTCATTTTTTGTTCTTGAATCTAGTCACAGAATATGAGAATCACTCTCAATAATAAACAATAGGAAGAATAAAAGAAGCACGGGTATTGATGGCGTACCCAAACACATATTGAAAACATGTGCCCAAGAAATTAGATGTATTTTGAAGAAAGCAATAAATCTACAGGGTGTTTCCAAAATTGGAGCGATCCTTGAAATGTGTAATAGAAGACGAAAAAGCAAAACGAAATGAAAGAATACATTTTCGCGAAAAAAACATTATATTGGAAGATATTGAAATTTGAAGGTTTAGTTTAAAGTGAGCACGACGCGTTGATAGAGTTCCGTGTAGAGGCGTTACCTTCAGAGGTTACTGACCGCGTCGACCATTCAAGGGCAGGAAGGTATAGTGGGTTGTATAATCTAGAGGTTGAATGATTACTTAGATTTAAAAGAATTTCACCCTGGACAAATGGTGAATAAGTTGTTAAACTAACCCTGTAGAATTAGTTGAAACATTTTATTCACCAGCAAGTTGAGAATGTGCCTTGAATCTGTGATAAATTCCTGTGTTTACATCTCCGAACAACCTGTTGTATGATCGAAGGGTTACATTGCGTGCTTTGTATTAAGTGTAGAGATCACAAAACCAAACTTAAAAACAATCGCAGATTCGTGATTAGGTTTTCTCAATTTAGAATTTCTTTCCACGTCCTGTATGATGAATATCAATTTGTCATACATCCAAAAACAAAAACTGATTCGAATGATGATTCCAATGAAATCATAATAATATAACCTAGAGAATACGAATTCTCAATGTATTTCTTCATATCATGTATATCCATTTTTTATTTTTATATTTTTATGTTCATAATTTTTCTGAGAATACTCCTTTTCAATAATAATCCATTCCAAGTAATCAAATCGTGAGTGATTAGGAGATATGAAATTAAGTTTACTGAGCAAATATTTCTTTAAATTGATTCGAAATTTTTCTGTAAGAAGTTGAAAAATATTATTGCACTATGGAATATTGATTGTTTACCAAAATTTGACTTTTAACTATTTGCTATCAATAAATCAAATTGCCTTGTTTAATGTTTTTCGCCGAGGTGCATATTACATTTTTTCGTCGACTTCAAACAATTATTATATCCACATCACGGTTCAATTCACATGTGAAATCTATCGGACCAAGGTTGACAGTTCGATTTTTATTCCATCAGTAAATACCTTGTCAAAAATTCAGTAGATTTTAATAGATCTGTTTCAGATCTATTTTATGCTATACGAATATCAAGAAAGGGTAAGGAAATAAACCTATGACGTCAAAATATTATGTACTTTTAGTAAACAGAAAATTAACCTATTTTCAACAAAATATAAACAAACATTTTCATACAAAAATTATAATATTTCTAATTAAATTGAAAAAAACTTCCGAGTATATAAAAAACAGAAACGAATAGTAAACATGAACAACAAAAATACAAAACAAATGAAAAAATAAACGAAAGAAACAAACTGTTATAACAGAGGAATATAAAAAATTGAATTTGATCTGAATCAGATGAAGTATTGTCCTTTCTTGGTTCATACATATCATGAGTACCTATTCACGTACATTTATTACTTATTTTTTTAAATTAATTTAAACAGAGCGTGCCGAAATATCATGCAATTTATAAGTGTATGTGATTAACTTAACAATATTGTCAAAATATTTTTCACTAGATTATGAAATGTTTCAGTAGATTATTTCTCTTTTTTTGAAGTGATTAATTGAAAAAAATACTGTGGAGGCATCAACTGTTGGGGGCAGATAGTGATTCGCAATATTAATAATGTTTCAATATTGATTTTAATAATTTTAATAATGCGAGGCTCACGCCGGTAACTTTCTGTATTGCTTCCGCATGGATTATTTGTTGCGCCCTGTCTCTTTTGCATCTATTATGATGTGCATAGATAGTGGTTGCACACACTTTGAACATTTATTGTAAATCTGTTAATTATCAAAAACTCGTTAACGTTATTGATATAAAATGAATTGATTCTATTTAGTGTCGACTTCAGTGTCTCTATTTTGTAAGAATTTGAAGCTGAATATGATAACTCGTAGAACTCACAAATTGATAGTAATTTGGCAACAGTGTCGGAGTGCGAATGCTGAGACAAAAGCTAAAGCAACCAGCCACAGCGTGAGTAAAATCACACAATTTTCGGAAATTTTGGATTGCTTGAAAAAACATTTTTGCCATTCATTGTTTTATTATGACTTGTGCAACACCCCATTTTAGGGACCGCTCCAATTTCCGAAATATCTGAATTGACATGTATATAAAAAATCATTGAAATGCAATCACTTATCAGTGCACAATTTTTAGTCAGTGAAATTCTGTGTTAAGTTCAAAAAATGTTTTCAAAAACAAGTTTATTGAAACTGCTCTGCTTTATTTCAGCAACAAAGTCCTTGAAGCAATGGACAAGGAGATCGATGCGATCTTCTTGGATTGCAGGAGCTTTATGAGTATGGAATTCGTAGAAACTCATCATCATCATCATCTTTATTATTCCCAAGTAACAATTGACGTATATGTTTATAACAGGGAGCATTAAAAAAATCATAATGTATTACATTACATTCAAAATATAGTATTTATAGGTATAATAATTATTCTAATAATTCCCATAGTTTGAGCAAATCCTTGTTTGAGTGAATGAATGATTAAAATAATTGATATGTTATATGATCTCAATATGGATGACATGAAAAAATTCAGAGAAATAAATATTTTTTTAGTTCTTTCTTGAATTTTTTGGTATTAATATTTTTTTCAAGTCTTGTTGACAATTCATTGTAAAGTGATATATAGATCTCTTGCCAAATTCAGATTTGATTTTAATGAAGGAAAACATGTCTGTTTGTCAAATTGGAATGTTTATAATTTGACTCAAGGCTTTCAATGTATTCATCAGTCTCTCAAGGTAGTATGCTCTGTCTCATATTGTTAATTATATTTATCAATGAAATATAAAAGGTTATAGCAGACATTAACACTTCTCACATGATCAACTATGCTGATGATACTAACCTTCTATCAACAGGTGCAAACCTACCAGATATCATAAACAATTATTGTAGTAAAATAATATAACAATCTAAAGATTATTTTCTAAAGAATAAGTTAGTTTTGAATGGTGAAAAAACATGTTCAAAGTAAAAAATAGTGTAGAAACACCACAAAACATATAAACCAGAACTTTTATGGAACCAACTGTATGGATTTATTCCTGTCATATTGTATTCACCGATCGCTTCAGATATTTAAACAGAAAGAAGGTATCTAATACAGATTTTCATCGTAGCAATATAAATATTCCCAGAAATTTTAGAAATGATCGATTCAATTGCGGTTGCAAATTCAGCCATTGATATTTGCTAAGAATGTGAATATTTCTAGGGTCAAAAAAACTACTGATTTGCAATTCTTCCATGATTCAACATGAACAAAATGGTAAGGAAAGTAGTTACCTTTGGTTGAGTTCTCCGTACCAACTCTGAGAACGTTGCTGTTCTGAAGGTGTGACTCAACACTTTCCTCCTTTCAGCTTCAGCTTCTTTGCGAACTTCTGGCGGTTCTGTCAGTACCTTCTTCATGCTCTCGAAAGTCAACTCCTCATCAGTATATTTCTAAATATACAATTGTATGTCATTTGATTTTTCAATAAACATGTGAACAGATTTTAAATAACCTCAATATGTTCGATGACAATACAATGGGTGCACATAATATCGTTTATAGGGATTCTGTCAGAAATCGAAGAGATCAAATCTCTTGGTACACCAGAATGGTGTCTATTACTAGAATGGCGATATCAAGGCTTGCCACATTTATCAAGGTCACATTCACCATCAGCCTAGTCTAAGATCCAAATGAAAAATCAAATTTCAACATATATTCATGAATAGGAGAATATATTTTTTACCGGGTTGCCTATCAAAATGTGACTACAAATATTTTTAATGGAAATAATAAAAATGATTTTTTCTGCAAAAAATGTCATTCATTTGTTTTTAAATTAAATATATTCCACCTCACAGATATGTATATAAAAAACTTCAGAAGCGCTCTTGGCCTCTCCACAGCCAGGTGTGAACAGGTATCATTTTGTTAAATTTATACGTCCATAGTAGTTATTGATCATTTTGATATGAAATGAGAGCTATTTTTTTCTTACATAATGGAATAACTCTGCCAATGCAATAATGGTCGCAAAAAGGAATTGCCAGCTTGTAACGGCTCTATATAATTAAAATTGTTCAATATTTTCCTTTGTCAATCTGATTTTATTTCAATTTCCTTTTGTTGACAAGAAACTAACAAACTCAAAAAACAATTCTCCGTCATGACCCCTAGATACCTCCTTGACTGCGACGGGTTGTCTACAGGGTCTTCTTGTGAACCACGACATTTCTCCCCCCGGTGAAGAAAGTCTATTATTCTTCACTCAATGTCTTCGGTTCCATAGCGACTTCAAGGTCCAGACGACACAGTTTAGTTACTGGACGACGATAGGTATTCTTCTGGGTTTGAACATCTGCTACTCTGACGATTCCATCGGGACCTGGATAGACTCTCGAAATTTTCCCCAGTTGCCAATTGTTTCTGGGAGAGTTTTCATCAACTATCAGGACAATGTCATCAGGTTTTAACGAGACTTCATTATCTGTCCATTTTGCTCGGCGGGTTAAGGTTGGCAAATACTCCTTCACCCATCTTTTCCAGAAGCAGTTTGCCAGCATTTGCGTTTTTTTCCAATTTTTTCGTGTATTGTTTCCGACATCAATTGTTGAATCTACGGCATTTCCGTATCCGATTAGGAAATGATTCGGTGTTAAAGCCTCTGGATCATTGGGATCTATAGATACATGAGTGAGTGGACGTGCATTCAATATATTTTCAACTTCAGCAAACAACGTTGATAGTGTCTCATCTTTCAAAGAGTGGCCATGGACAACGGCTCCTAAAGATCTTTTCACTGAACCAATGAGCCTCTCCCATGTCCCTCCCATATGTGGTGCTCCTGGAGGTATAAATCTGAAGTCGATACATTTAGAACTCAAGTAATCTTTCGTTGAGTCCTTGTTTAATGTGTATATTTCATCAGGAAAACTTTCATATTGGGAGTGTCTTATCCAGAGTTCTTCAGCTTGATTTATATCCTCTACTTCTAATGTTCCACCACCATGTGTATCATTATTGATTTTTCCTTTCAAAATTTTAATGAAACGTAGTACCCACGCTGTCGCCCTTATCAATCGAAGATATTTGGAAAACCTTTTCACATCTGGTAAATATCCGTCTTCTTCTTTCGTTACCATTCCCACAAACGATTTTTTCTCTTCTAACTTCTCGTCTTCATCGAGAATGTCATCTTTCCTTATTTCCTTCGGCCATTGCTCTGTTGACTGTTTCAAGAATGCTGGCCCGCAAAACCACTCAGAAGGATACTCCAAGTAGTCTTCGTTTAGCAAAGGTCTAGTTGCTGCATCTGCAATATTCATCTCACTAGGTAGCCAGTGCCAATTGGATACATCTGTCCTCTCTTGAATTTCTCCCACACGGTGAGAAACGAACTGTTTGTACTGTATTCCATCACTCCTAATCCATCGTAAAACGCACCTTGAATTTGACCAAAATATCATTTTATTCACAGGAATTTCCAATTCTGATTTTAAAGTCGCAGATATTCGAGATGCCATCACTGCAGCCTGTAGTTCGAGTCTGGGAATCGATAGGGTTTTCAACGGTGCTACACGTGATTTTGCCATTATAAATGAAACAGAAATGTTTTCTTTCGCCAATACTCTCAGGTAGGATACCGCAGAAAAAGCCCTTTCACTCGAATCACAGAAAGTATGGAGTTCTATACACTCTGCATCAGGTATCAGTGGTGAATAACATCTGGGTATCCTTAATTTCCCAATTCTATCAAGACGTAGTAACCACTCCTCAAACATCTTTATGATCCTGTTTGGTAGATTCTCATCCCACTGTATCCCCAATCGCCAAATCTCTTGTAGCAATATTTTTGCACCGATAGTGATGTGCGAAAGGAATCCTATAGGATCGAATATGGACATTACTATCTTTAGAATTTTTCTTTTTGTCATCTGATCAACGTTTGTTCCTACCTCATGCTTAATCCTAAAAACAAAGTTGTCGTGCTCAGGATTCCACAAAATTCCTAAAACTCTCTGTACCGGCATGTTCGTATATTCTGAAATCATTTTCATTTCAGCCAAATCTTCTTTGGGTAGAGCTTGCCGAACCACTGGTGAACTTGTGATCCAATTCACTACCTCGAATCCTCCGAGTAGCATCACCCTCTTCACCTCAGAGATCATATCTAAGGCCTCTTGCTCAGTATCTTTCGAGTCCAAAAAGTCATCTACATAGAACTTATGCTCGATGGTTGCGGCGATATCTGGGGTACCTACTTCTTGAGCATTTAAGTTTTTGATAAATTGTGCAGACGAAGGAGAACATGTCGCTCCAAAGGTCATAACCTGCATTTCATATACCTCTGGGTCTTTAGTACTGTCGAGATTTCTCCAAAATAATCTTTGAGAACATCTGTCCTGCTCTCTGATTTTCACTTGGTGAAACATTTCTCTGACATCTCCTGCAAACCCATACTGCCTTTGCCGGAATTTTAGCAATACTGAAACAAGAGATTGCAAGAAATCTGGTCCTGCTAATAGATTATCATTGAGACTCGTTCCACTAGACTTAGCAGCCGCATCAAAAACTAATCTAATTTTTCCTGGTTTATTTGGATTCATGGTGGCAAAATGAGGTAAATACCAGGTATGAGGTGGTTCAATTTTGGCTTCTTCAGGCTGCAACTTCCTGAGATAACCTTTCACAAGATAGGATTCAATTTTATCGCAATATGCATTTGCAAAGTTTATATTCTTTTTGCATTTATTTTCCATACAATATAATCTTTGCAATGCCCCAATTCTATTATTTGGAAGTTGTACATTATCATTCTTCCACAAAAGGCCAATTTCGAAACGGTTGTCGACTCGTTTTGCAGTCATCTGCATAATATGTAGGGCACGTTTTTCTTCCAAGCTCAGTCGTGTTGGTGTAGGCAAAATTCCAAAAGATTCGACAGTGTACGTATTTTTAACGAATTCATGCAGATCATCATCTTTCTCCCTGTTGCAAATATGTAAAGAGTGTATATTTCTCTCTTCGTTCAATTGTTTGTTGCTACGACCATGAAGAGACCATCCCAATTTACATTTTGTTGCAACAGGTAGGTGTTGTTCAATACCATCATTTGAGCAACGAATTTGTATGGGCATAATCAGCGAAATATTGTCTTGTCCGATCAAGAGCATAGGTTTTTTCTTGTGGAAGTCATCAATTGGCAAGTTCTTAAGGTACGCATAACCCTCCCAGTTTCCCATACAAATTGTCTGAGATGGTAATGACAAATTACTCATGGTGTGTACACCTTTCAATAAAAATGACTTGGAATTCCTTACCCCAGATATTCTTACATCTAGCCTCTGTGAATGTGCAGCTTTGTTCACCACGTCATTTGTCCACTGGATGCACATAGGTTCTTCTTCCCCTTTCAATCCTAAATTTTCTGCGACGCTGCTCTCCAACAATGTGACCGTTGAACCTTCATCACACAGTGCTAAGATCTTCGTACTTCCATTAGGCCCATGAATTGTAACTGGCAGCATTCGCAGCAAGATGCTTCTACCGTCTTGTTGCACTGTTAGAACAGATTCATTATTATTCTCTATCATTGTATTTCCTGCGGTCACCTGATAATTTCCTCTTGTAACTGCATCATCGTTATGAAGCAATTTGTGATGTCTAGATTTGCATCCACCCACTTCACATACTTTTTTGTATCGACATTTAAATGAGTGATGGTTGCTTCTTAAACAAGAAAAACAGAGTTTCTTACCTTTAACAGTATCCCATCGCATGTCTATACTATCTTCTTTCATTTTTGGACATTCCTCTGGTTTATGATCTTCATTTTCACAATATCCACAGACCACTTTCTTTGTACTCAAGACAGTACCTAACCATTTCTGCTGATTGGGTTTCTTCACTTGTTTGGATTCTTCTTTCCCCCAAGATGCCTTGGGTAAGCTCACATAACAAGCCGCATTTGCCATACCTGATAACCAGACAGAAAAAACGTCTAAATTGATATCCAGTCTCTCATTGAAAATGTATTCTCCCCACCTCAACTTCAATATTTCTGGTAATTTACTCAATATGTCTGACATGAGTTGAGGATTATTCATATGTCCAATTGATTTTAAAGATTTCATAGTACTTACTAAATTTCTTATGTCGTTAGAGAATATAATTAATTTCTCCATACAAATTTCTCTCATAATAGGTAATCTATTCACTTTCCTTATTAAAACCTCAATAATTATTTCTGGTCGGCCGTATCTCATTTTGAGAGTTTCAATAACTAATTCAATGTTTTCGCTAGATAACATCATACCTGATACTGCTGACTTTGCTTCTCCTCTCAAACATTTTCGTAACTTTACCATCATTTCTTCCTGACTGTATCCACACATATTCGATATCCTATTAAACTGCTCAATAAATAGAGGCCAATCTTCTGGATTCCCATCGAACATTGGGAAATCTTTGTCTACAATTTGTCTCCTCAACAATTTTTCTTGAACCGAATCATTAGTTGGTGTAACCTGCCTCAATAAACCTGTAATTGTCTGACACAACATCTTGACATCGTTCGACGAAGATTTTTGTTCCTGTACCTGATGAACATTGCCTGAAGAATAATGATTTTTGATACTCTCACCTGACATTTTGTCAAAGTTGACATTTTTGACTTCTTCAACTGGGTCATCAAAATTATCGTTCATGGTAGACATCGCACCCAAGTAACCTGTATCATTGTTTACCCATTCTTGAACAGCATGCATATCTTCTCTTTCGATCTGCGCCATCACCTGGGTCACTACCACTTCGCTATTCTTTGAAGAACTTGACAAGTCTTGGCTTCGAACTTCTTCCAATTCTTGTACAATTTCTGCCTGTTGTAATTCATGTTCCAACTGCAGTAGTCTCATTTCATTTTCTGCCTCTTCTTTCTTCTTATTCAGCTCTTGAAGTTTCTTCTCCATCTCCAAATTAAGCTTCTTCTGTAGTACATGCAAACTTGCCCTGGATCTTCTGGAACTTGCAGCTGACTTAATCACTGACCTGGCTCGTTCTGAGGTAGTTTCACGGACAGACGTGAGACGCTGTTGATCAATTCTAGCTGTCTCCACATCACTACCTCCACCAAATCCTTCCGGCCACACAAAATCTGATGGCAAATTTTTACGTACTCCAGCACATTTCCTAGGATGTTTGTCCATATCTTGGGTCAATAAACTCTCGAAGGACCAAATGTAACGGCTCTATATAATTAAAATTGTTCAATATTTTCCTTTGTCAATCTGATTTTATTTCAATTTCATTTTGTTGACAAAAAACTAACAAACTCAAAAAACAATTCTCCGTCATGACCCCTAGATACCTCCTTGACTGCGACGGGTTGTCTACAGGGTCTTCTTGTGAACCACGACACAGCTGTTAAAGATATATAGACCAAGAGAGAGTTTCTCGCGCAACTTTGCGTCAAACAACGAGTAACCATGTCAAAAGTATTCACACCAAATTTTGTTTAATGTCCTAAGAATTAGAGCAAGAAGGCGATTTTTGAAACTGGACTTGAGAGGGATGAATCTCTATTTTCTGATGAACATTGGTGAATTATTGCTAATTTAGCCTGAACCACCCCTGTGAATTGGCTCGCCCATTTCTATCCTATCAATAAATATCATATCCATCATTTTTCACAATGTTTTGCTCTTTCAAGAAAGCCACAAAAACCTGGTGATCGAATAATTCTGAAGCCACCCCTGGCATGGTCGCATCTCTACTGCGCATGATCACATTTGCCGTTCGAGCCACGTTAGGGAACACTTGAATAGAACGATATTGGCCTTCTAGAGCAGATGCGTGTAGATAATGCGAATTATTCTGGACTGTATGAATGGAGTTCAATATTGATATGAATGTTCGAATGGTATGTTTAGGACAATGTGCTGTTGGATCCCAAGGCTGGATCAATTTGGATCTTACCAAAGATCTAACTTCAAAATTGACAAACTGTCAAATTATTTTATTGATTTCGAAGTACCTATGGAGAAAAGAATTATTTGCAGCATAATAAGTATAACAATATTTGGTGAATAATCAGAGGTTTCAATGGTGATTAGTAGGTACCTATAACCCTAACACTTTTGGTGTCCACATGTATAATTCTCTCCCACAAAATTTGAAAAATATTCGGCCTGGTCGCAAATTCAAATGTGCATTATCCAAACTCCTCATAGAACGTTGTCCTTACTCCATACAAGAGTTCGAAATAGCATTTAGTTAATCTATGGTGTAATCAATTTTATTTTATATTTTTAACTTTACATGTATTTTGTCTGTCTCTGCCTATATATTTCAAATCATTGTTACTGTAATAATTAGGAAAGTATTATTATTATTATTATTACTATTATTTGTTTGTTGTATATATAATTTTGTGTAGGTACTGCTATGTTGACTTATCCGATAACTCTTGTGAGTTCCGAAGGACCAATAAATTGATTGATTGATTGATTGATTGAATACAACTTTGCTATTTATCACATACAAATATCTCGTATTCCAATATTCAATAGCAATTTTAGGGTATCATTAATTATCTCCTTTAATGTATAACCCTACTTCGATTCTCAATTCAGAAATATCATCATTGCTATGGACTAATAGCTACTATCACTGTTGCTCGACAATAGGGAATCAATTGCTAATAGTTGTATTACATTCATATTGAAATCTGAACATAACAATGTGAATAAACACCAAATGAAATATCTTTCAACATTTTTCAGCCCGTGACTTTGGCACCGTCAAAAATTATTGTGGGAAAAAATTCGAATTAACAACGAGTGCTTTTACAAGTCAAACATGAATTCTGCTTTACCCTTGAGTAGTGCCTGTTCAGCCGAATATAAATAATATTGGTACTGTCTGAGTGCATACCAGCCGAGCACACACGCACGACAAAAGTTGTAATTAAATGCGCAATAGGGCAGCCAGTCGAATACATTATTAGTCTTTGAGTTATGTGATTCCAATCAATAAAAACGTGAATCTCAAAATACGTGGAATTTGAAGGACCTTTGAGCATCCATTGCTTTACCTTTTGCACTCCTGGTGAACTGCACGCACTGTCCACTTCCGAGGTCTGTATGTCGATGATGCTCCCTCGAGCCCCAGACTCTATCCAGCTGTTGCGCTGTGTTCCCGTCACGAAACCGGGACCGCCCGCTCCATAAGGAGACGTCTGCTGCAGTCTGGACGGGTCCAATCCGCCGGCTTTGACGTACTCGCATATCGCCATCTGGAATTCGAGAGACGAATTTAAGATTTTTCGGTTTTACTTGGAGACTGAGGTATATGCAAAGGAATGATCAAACCTGACAGACTTTATGAATTCCTTTTTTTTTCTATGCCTTCGCTGTTTTTTTTTTGTTCTTCCTTTTGGTTCACTATATGAGTACTGTTATTTTGAAATATTTTAATGATATGTAAGTTTTGTTTCCCCTCAGGGGCTTACAACTTGTGAGTACGGGAATGGTGAATCCGAGGGTGATATCCTCTTATCTCTTCCTTTTTCAACCTATCCCATGGGCATTCCTTGGCCAACTTCTTTTTCCTCTTTCCCTCCAAGCCCAACCCCACCATCAAGTGGTGAGGGGAGGACAGACCGCGGCCGCTACAGATGAAGCATTTTGGGACCATCTTTGCTGTCTTGCGCCAGATGGGACAATAATTTGTGGACATATGTGGCAAAGGTATGGGGGATTTGCTGATATCTGTCTAGGTGGCCGAGGACTGGTCAACAAGGTTCGAGCAACCTGATCCAAGCTGTGGGAACCCGTGGCGATGGATGAATGAATGAACAGCGCGACATCTCAAGAGTAAACAGCCTTAGCCCTGTGCAGAGGGCACCACAGGGCTGGACCAATCCCTTCCCCCGTTACTGGTAGGAGAAGGAAAACTTTTGTACTTCTTCGTAAACGAGAACAGGGATCGAAAGAGTAATCTTCAAGAACCTGAACGGAAAGGGCCGTTCACATCGAAGTGGCCCTTAACAAGCACCATGAGTCGTATATGGTAAATTGATAACGACATGTAGGCGAGATACAATGGGCCACTAGGCCTAAGTGTCGTCACACCGGAAAGGAACCAGATACAGTATAACATATAATGTGCAGATGCGAGGCATTGGATCGCAAAAGGCAGCACACTAGCAAATGGGGGATATATAGAGGAATTCGAATGCACTCTATTACCAAAGACTATTGATCAATATGATGATACCTAACCCTACCCTAACCAAACCTCACTAAAAATCATCGTCGGCACTTTCCATCCTCCACTTTCCATCATCGTGGAGCCAAAAAGTATAGTTCTTGATTTGACATCAAGAACTATACTTTTTGTTCAAAAATATTCAAAAAATACAATCGACTTGAGAGACGCCAACAGATATAAAAACAAAGAAATTTTAAGTTAAAGGCCATGTGAAATATACATAGGGGTTCGATGTTTTTCCGGTTTTAGATATAAAGTCTGTAACTTCTGCAAACTGCTCACCTGATCAATTAGCAGATGCGGAAGTTTGTTGGCTACTTCACTGTTAGTTGGATAGTGAGAGAACAAGTCAGGCAGCAAATGTGGAGCTTCTTGTTTCCTCTGTTCGATAATTTGACAAGCATAGTCGGCCAAAGGTTTGATACTGACAATAGTAGGAATAAGTGCCAACAAACTGATAACGATAGCATGCAAGTTGAATTTCTGGGCGTTGGATAGCAATGTGCTATTTAATGAAAGGCTCTGGATCCTAGAAAAAATCGTTGATATCAATTTATATATAGGAACAAAAATGCTGCTGTATTTAGGAAATTTTTTCAATGTTTTGGTTAGAGGTCTCCAGCCTTCTTCAGAACGATTCGTTTATTGATATATCTTAAAACTGGATGATCACAGCAATAAGATTCTATTTTATTGTGTTTTTATTGCAGTAAATATCATGTTTTACATGTTAAAACGAACAGGAACATTTTTGAAATACATAGAAAGAAATAATTTTTCTTGATTTTTTGAAGGTAATTAGGTTATTTATCAGACAATCCGAAAGACTAATAAGTTGGGCAGAGTTGGAAAGTTAGGAATTCAAGAAATTAGTTCTGATGTGGTAAAAAATGATTCACATATCAAAAAATGATGAACTATATGGATTAGTAAATATTCCAATTGTTTCCTTGAAAATGAAAGTGGGTGTGTGATAATACTATTAAACCTATATTTTATGGAAAATCAACCAGCTACTTCCAGTAGAAATATCAACTTCTCTCACTGATGCAAATCAACGATAATTAACCTGGCAGTTCAAAGTAAAAAGGTACATAAACACATTTGGGGAATCCTCATAATGAGCTAAATCCACTTACCCTAATATTAGCTGCAATAAATCTATAACAGTTTCAACACTGGCCAATTCTACACAAAGAAGAGCTAGGGTTGTGTAGACAGCCTCAATATTCTCAGGAGTATTCGTGTCCATTTGTAGACTAGTATATAGAGCATCATAAATTATAGGTCCATGTTTGTTGATGAATATTAGATCTGGTCTGGAAGATTTTTCCAACACAAGTTCCAAATCAAAAATATTGACCCTGAAACCAATAACAGTATATAAGAGATGGTGTTAACATCATAGGGATACCGGAAGTTTGGTAAACATATGTCAGATAAGGATACAATATATCACTGCTATAATGGTAAGAAATACAATACTCCAAAATGGACTAGAGTTATAGATCATTTATTTATTTATTTCAGTTATTGCATTACATATTTCTTCACTAATACATTTTATATGGAATAAGTAATCAAAACAAATATAGGAAAACCCATAGATGTAAGAATACAACATTCAAATCATGAAATTAGGCGTAAAAAGAGCTAACGCTTAGTAAAAAATCCGAATGAATAGGTGAATGAAATAGAATCTCGGGATATAGTCAGTCCACCAAATCCCAGATATCGTCAAATTTTTCCTAAAGAACCTATTCTGAAATTTTGAATTCACTCGGCCGTTACTTGTTGGAAATCCATGGCGAATGTAAAAAATTCAACACAGTAGCTTCGTCAGGTGATATACTGGTACAATGAACTAAACCATTTTATGTATTTCAATGTAGATATTGTGCCTAATTTCTAAAAATAAATGTTTATCGAACCTGTCCACAGGTAACTTATACTTCAAGTTGGGAAAGTAGGATATATAAAAGTTAAGCAAGCCACAGTTGGTTTAGTTCATTGTACCAGTATATCACCTGACGAAGCTACTTTGTTAGAGAAACATGTTGTGTGTTCAATAATTTCGTGGAAATCTTATCGTTTGTGAAGTTTTTACATTTATTCTGAAATTCATTTGACCTCTACGAAATTCAATTCACAAACGATACGACTCCCAAAAAATTCTTAATAATACATGTTTCACTAACACAGTAGCGTCTTCACAAATACAGGCTGTTTCAAATAAAGGTGCCCCCCTTGCTAGCAGTAGGTAGAACACTGCAAAGTAGGTTGTATCAGCTCAGTAAAAAATGTCATAATGGCATCCGTATTCAAGATTCAAGGTGTTGAAAGAAGGATTTTGGTACACGTTTTTTACCTTCATGTCTAAACTATACTGACAACATTGTAATGATATTTCGTATGGAAATGTTTTGAAAGCTGACATATTGCATGAATTTGTTATCATATCTGACTTTCATAGAGGGCGCTCTCTACAAGGTTTGTACCAAGTAATTCAGAAGAAAACTTTTTTGTGGATAGTTTTTCTAGTTCAAATTCAAATCATTCATTACAATGTTGTCTGTAGTTTCGATATAATCATGAAAAAATATGTATAAACATTGTTTCTTCAACACCTCCTATCTTGAAAACGGATGTGGTTACGAACATTTTCAACCAAGCAAACCCAACTTTAAAGTTGTTTTTTCTTGAATACCGTGTTTAAGATTGATTTTGAAGCGATCTCAAGTGTGAAGTAGTAATCAATCGCATCCAAGAAAACAGACCACTTTGAAATGAAAGCTGGCAAAATCAATGATTGCTTATACAAGTTATACATAACCTGAAATCTATAATTTCTTTAAATCAACAAATATCTGTGGCAAGTGTGAAAAAAGAAACAATTGTAATAGAATCACAAGTGGAATTTCCAATTGATCTTGACCAAATATGCTGCCAAAACAAAACAAAAAAAAATCATAACCTCAAACTTCGACGTTTCCCCACTCCTCTACTCGTTACCTCGGTCCGAACCGTTCATTGAGAAGTATTTGAACCGGAATGAACCGTATTAGTTGGTGACGTCATAACTTACACAAGAAAATGCTCGATTTCAAATCGTTTCGAACACGGTTCAACAAGAAAAAACCATCAGTGTTCTACCTGCCTTTTTTGAAACACCCTATATATAACTCAGGTTGAATGTTATTTTTATATAAATCTTATCAAAGATGTCTGAGCTATTGAGTTCAATGTAGTATGGTCTACTAATAGGCTCATATTATCTGAGACAAGCAGTCTAAAGAAAGGAGCTCCTGCGGATTATTAGAATGAGTTTATTTAAATATTTCGTTGATTTGTGTTCTATAGCTTTCAGCAAACATTTACGGATTATACGATGCTGTTTTTAATATGTGATGATTTGCCAATAAGATGATGGCCAACCATATGGTTTGGGCATTAAACCTTGTATGTGACCCTGGCATAAAACTTATGTTTCAATTACATCATCCTGGTTCAGTTCAAGTGTAGGTTAGTACCAGTTCATTTCGAGGGTAACATATTTTCAATTGGAAATCTGCTCTGATAAAACAGATTGATCAGCTTCACAAAATGTGACAGCATCAAGAAGGAGGTTGCTATAGTAACAAAATCCACAGCATCTGGCAATAATAATAGTCTATGGTGGCATTTTGATCGAATATCCTCGGTAGTGAACATGCTTGTGGTATGAGTGTGCAGAATATCATTGAATTTGGATGAACTACTGCGGAGGAAAATGAAACAATAGTTTCTGCGAATAATCAAGGAAGCACTTGTTATTCGGAGAAGAGAGGACTTTACGGCTTTCGCCACCAAAGATCTACTGGAGATCTACTTGCCTACGTCACCCATTTATGGCAAGCTTCATTAGAAAAATACGGGGAATCTCTAGCTGTCGCGTTGGACATATCGAAAGCATTTGACCGTGTTTGGCACGAAGGACTCCTCCACAAACTACCATCATACGGCTTACCACCTCAGCTATGCCATCTCTTATCGAGTTTTCTTTCAGGCAGATCGCTTCATGTGGTGGTGGACGGTGTATCGTCTGATACCATTGGCATCATTTCCGGCGTCCCACAAGGATCAATTTTGGCACCAACATTATTCCTTCTTTATATCAATGATCTGTTGGGAGTAACAACTTGTCCCATCCACAGCTTTGCAGATGATAGTACCCTCCATACTGCGTTCTCTTCCAGAATTCCCATTTCTTCCCAGGAAACTAAGAACTCACGTCGCAGGCAGGTCAATGCTGTCAATGAAGACCTTGCTGAAATCACAGCCTGGGGAACCAACAACCTAGTTGAATTCAACGCCACCAAAACTAAAGCCTTTATTTTCTCTAGAAAGGCGGAACTCAGTATGCCCGACATTGTAATGTCTGGCACCACCATCTCCACCAAGCCCACCATATCCATGCTCGGTATTTCCATCAGCAACACTCTTTCATGGGATAATCATGTCAGATCCATCGCAAAAGCTGCTTCACGAAAACTCGGATTCTTGTTCCGTGCGAAAAGCTACTTTACACCTCAACAGCTTCTCATGATCTACATAGCGCAGATACGGCTCGTTCTAGAATACTGTTTCCACATATGGGGTTCAGCACCAAAACATACGCTGATGCTCTTAGATTCCATCCAGAGAAGAGCCTGGTGGGTGACGTCACACTCACTCACTCTTTGACATCATTGGAACACCATAGAAAGGTCGGCGACCTTTCACTTTTCTATCGATACTTCCGCGGGAAATGTGCTTCGGAAATCTCTGCTATCATCCCTTCACTAGCAATACCAGTCAGCACATCCTTTCGTATCGTTGTCAACCTCGAAAGATGTCGAACAGCACTTTATCAATACTCCTTCATTCATAGAACGGCTAGGCTCTGGAATTCATTGCCTGAGGAAGTATTCCCAACAACATATAATCTCCAGAAGTTCAAAACAAATTCCAATACCTACCTCCTATCCCTATCCTCCCTAGGAACGCTCGATGTTCTTTGAACATTATAGGGATTCCCTTTCGTGCGCTCCAAGCGATAAAAAAAACTGTTCAATGACGGCTGAATATCTAGACTGTCTGTCATTGAACCGTTCCCACTCGTTCGGCTTACAATATTGTACTCATAGACTCATAGATTTCTTGGGGCGCACGAAAGGAAATTCCTATAATGTTCGAAGAACATCGTGCGTACCTAGGGAGGATGGGGATAGGAGGTAGGTGTTGGGATTTTTTTTCAACTTTTGGAGGTTATAAGTTCTTAGGAATACTTCTATTGGCAAAGAATTGTTCTATAGACGAACGAGTATAAGTAAAATTTTGTTCCATATATCTCAAAGTTGACAACGAAAAAATGTGCAGATTGGGCCTGTCGAGTTCGTCTGACTAGTATTGCTTGTGCTGGAATGATAGCAGAGATTTTTGAGGAACATTTCTGGTGAAAGGTTGCAGAATTTTCTAGTGTTCTAATGATGTCAAGTGGCGAATGGCCTTTCTCTGGATGAAATCTAAGATCATCAGAATGTGTTTGGGTGATAATATGTGAGAACAGTATTCTAAAACTGGCTCTATCTGTGATTTGTAGATCATGGGAAGATGTAGAGGTGTGATTGGTGTCAAGTAGAATTCGATAGCAACAAGACATGTTTTTCTTACATCTCAAAATGTCAATTGTTTGTTTCATTTTCTAGTTTCCATGACGTTTCTCCTCGGTAATCTTTATTATTGTATTAGTGATTAGTACAATAATATCTGTTTTTTGTTGCTTATTTGTTGTTTATGTTGCTAATCCCTATTATGAACAACAATGTATCTTGGGACAATCAATGATTTGTTTAATAATTCTAACTGAAATGAAGAATTCCCAAATACATATAATTTACAATAAATACTCACGTGGGTTTAGAGAGTTTTTCCAGGTTATTATGTCTATCAATGAGAGTATGAAGAATTTTCTGAACGAGCAACCTCATATCAGGATCAGGCGCTAAAGACATCCTCAGAAGTGGCTCCAAAAATGAAACTGGGAAGGTTGTGTTCAGATGAATGGTTTGGTACTTGGTACCAACCTACAAAAAATAATAAAATCCAACCAACTCCAATTATGAAAACGTTTTTTTTTACCTTCAATAAACTTTTCAATAGAATGCTTTGCAATAAATTATCGGCCGGAGAATGGTTGTCGACGAGAGGAAATGGTATTTTGCTCATGATGAACATCATTATTTCGATTTTCTGATAGTCGGGAAGATGATTTGCAAATTCTCCAAGAGCATTGATGAGTGCCTCTTGGTATTGCTTCTCTTCAAGTTGGCTCGCTTCATTTCTCACCGAATCCCTTAGGTGGCTCAGAAGTGAATTGATGATTTCCAGGACTGATGGACCTAAATAATTGAGTTTTTTACATACACGGTCCGTGAGAATGAATTCAATTAATTAACTGTATAGGTACTCCTTGAATAAAAGTAACAAGACTTTCACAATGCCATTTCTTATTTATGGCTCCCATATTTGGAATACAGGGCGTCAATGTTTGAGAATTAGACGATAATCATTCTTTGTTTTTTATGAAATTTCAATAAAAAGATCCATTTCAGGTATCCAATACTTTAGATATAATTATCAACAGTAATTGAGAAATTTCACGAGTGGACTAAGTCCAGTCAGCAATACATATGATTATGTCTATTTCTTTACATGACTTTCAGTGCTATGTAGAGGATCCCTACTCCATATATTTTGACCTGTACCTACAGCTTCAACTATTTATATGAAGTGGAAAGAACCTTCAAATATGAAAGTTGTAGGATTTCATCTTTCATCTGTACTATCTTTTGGCACACCTTAAGGCTTAATGAACAGATTCGAATCACAAGATGAGAAAAATAGTCCAAAACAGTTTTTTAATGGAACACCCTGAATATTTTCAACTCTAGTGAAAGATCTTCTCTTCTGTTCACAAATACATATAGTTTGCTAATGTTTCCTCAGGCAATTGTTAATTTATTCACATTGAACCAAAGTTGCCAATAACATTTAGATGGCTGTGGACAAAAATGGCATGAAAAACGCATCTTTTGACATCTTTGTCGGTTTTTCAATCAACATTGATGATTCCGTAGAGGAAAATTGCAAAATACTGAGATTATATTATGAAAATATTGCAAAAATTTCAGTGCAGCGAGAATTCAACGGCTCAAGGGAAAGGTCATGTCGTAAATGATAGGATAGTTTATATGGACTTGCAGAAGCTTTCAAGGTCAATATCTCCGTAACGAAGTGCGATAGAAATTTTTTATATGAAGTACTAACATTATGTTGACTCACACTATCAGCCCTGCAGCTACCATGTTGTTATTGAATAAATAGAGTTTTTATAACCTTTGAAATGGTTGGGATGTATGTTTATCATTTACGACATGACCTTACCGGACACCCTGTTCATTTGTGAACAGAAGATTTTTCACAACACTTGAAAATATACAGGGTGTTTCATTAAAAAAAAAACTGATTTGGACTCTTTTTTTTATTTTACGATTCGCATTTGTTTATTCAAGAAGTGCCAAAAGATAGTACAGATGAAACCCAACTTTCATATCAGTCAAAATATCAGGAGACAACCTGTACCGAACAGTAAGGCAAGGGCGGATCTAATAGAGCAGCGGTTCTCAACCTTTCATAGTAGGTAACGTACAGTTGTATTGTAAAAAACGTACAAGTATATTAGAGAGAGAAATTCACGTCATTTTATTTGCGTAAAACGGGCTATCGGGAATGATTGTTTACCAAATATTGACAGTAAAGTTGTCATAGGTTCTCAAAAACACAGAGCATTGGCTGAGCCAGTTATACATAACTTGAACTAGGATGACATAAATCTCTATTTTTAATACATGTACACTTTTTTATTGAATACTACTGTACCACAAAATTATTTTCAATGTCATCCAGCTTGAATACATAACTGGTAATTTCTACATTATTCTACAAGATTAACAGTGTTGCCAATGCTCCTGCATTTTAGTATTTTTAGATTAATTCATTCATTTATTCTGTCGAGTTTTCTTATTTGTTTGTTCGATTTTATGTGGTGCTGATTTCAGGTCTGTTCCTGCATTACGAGCCTGTTTTTGTTTACCACCGCAAATAATAATATGAACCACCAGTATTACATGTAAGACAGATTGAGAACCGCTATAGTAAAGGACCTATAAATATTGTTGAGATCGTTTACCAGTCCCTGATATTGATAAATGTACGGAAAAGTGAAAATCAACTGGGTACACTTACCGACACTTTCGCCAGCGGCAATAGCTATTATTTTAGATAAAACACCAGCAATGTTTGTTCTAATAGTTGCACTAGATTTTGCATTATCATCTAAATGGGCCATGAGTGTTTCTACCACGGTATAGGAGTATTGCGCCTAAAATCGATGATTTCTCAAATTCAATGATCGATATTACTACAATTGTTGTATACCTGAATGGAAAACATGATGATCCTGAACGTGTGTATGGCGAAATCATTAGGAACCCATAGAGTATGAAGATCAAAATGTCTGAAAAATTAAAAACTTCATTTCAAAATATACTCAACAGGCTACACATTAGAAGTTTTCTGACTTGCAGTAGAATTAAACGCTTGAAAATTTGTATGCTTTTATAATGAAACATTTCCAATCTACCTGAAATATCTCTAGTCCCCCAGCTGTACGAGGTGTGAAAAAAAATGGCACCAATTTTCTTATTTTAAATGTAGGTTTGTTGTGTGTGACATAGATTGTCTATTATCATATGGTATATTTTGTATGAATCTTTGTATTCTATATTTTTGACGAGCTCAACACCCAGTACAGGGTATTTTGATGAGTAAATAAATGCTATTCTATTCTATTCTATATGGAAACCTATGTTTTTCAACATAGTTCAATTGGCTTTCTAATTCTGAGTTTAGACATCCCTATTTATGTTGACTTATCTATCACAGTTTCCGAGATATCTCGATTTTTAGGAACATAATCACCGTCGTAGTAGTATACGAAAATATTTGTATCTCGCATGTCATTCAAAATCATAGTACCATATTTGTGGAACAATTAGCTGAAAATCCAGGCTAACTCCTGATGTTCCATCCATGGTCCCATTCGGTGCCACATGGGCGAGAGCGATTTTCAAATGTTGCATTGAAAATTTTACGAAAACTCAACTTTTTCAAATGGCACCTACTATTTTTTTAGGTCTCACAAAAAACACTGCAGAGTAATTAAAATGTAAGACACTACAAGAATACCTTCAAGGTAGCACAAATATCAAAGCATAAAAAAAATCACAGCGACAAATGAAATCACAGTACACAAATGTGCACAGATGACAGTCAAATTACAAACATTGGACAGAGTTACATTCCTAGACTCTTCAAAGCTTTCACATTTGTATTGAGGAAGTCAACATCCCTATCTTTAAAATGACCATTACACAGCATTAAAATTTGGCATAAAGGATTTTCAAATGGGTACCTAATACTAAATAATTTTTCACATTTAGATCTAAGCTTAATTTTCGGGACGACTAGTTTTATAGAATTGATTAATGCACATTTGTGGTATTTAATGTTGTTGATTATATAGTACATGGAAATCACAGATTGTTGTTTTCTTATATAACAGAGTTTTTGAAATTCATATGAGTCCAGCATGCTTTGATAAGAAACACGATAGGGGTAGATATTTTGATAGCATATGAAAAAAGTTACATTTGAGGATGAGTTAATTTAGCATTCCCTATACCTGATCATAACTCAATCCTCCATATTCAATAAAAATCAAGAAATCAATGATACATTTTTCTCCGTGTATACGGTGGTGTTACAGAAGGTAACAAATGTTGAGCCAGTGAACATCTCGATGGAGGTTTTCGTTCGGTATAGATGATGCTCAAGTACCTCATCCTCAAATTCAATTTTCTTTCATATAGTGTGAAAAAAATTATGGGTGACATTTGAAAAATATGAGTATTTGCCAATTTTTCAACTGTACATTTGAAAATCGCCCGCGCCCATATGGTATAGAATGGAACCATAGATGGGACATCAGAAGTTAGCCAGGATTTTCAGCTAACTGTTCCACAAATTTGATATCTTGAACACTGTGTCAGAATCAGAAGCCCTTTGGAACAATGGGAAGAAAGAATAGGTTTCCATATGATATGATAAGAAAGTTGGTGTAAACTTTTGGCACACTCTGTACAGCTGAAGTACTAAAAATTTGTCAGGTATATTGGAAATGGGCTTATATCACAAAAAAAAATTATTTCATAATTCGATAGAACTCACCCAAACTAGCTCCCCACCGCAAACCGTTTCTTGCTGTGAGCTCCCTACATTTTATTAAAAATTATTGAAATCCCCGATTTTTCGGACCTCTGAAAACGAGGCGATGATGTGACGTCAAAACCCTAATAATGAAACAAGACTATTCCAGACAGAGATGAATGATACATGATTTCTGACAGAGTGAATCAGCGCGTGATCACAGTTGAAAGAATTAATATATCAGTTGCCTCAGTCTCCGTCGGGCGTTTGGTATTTTCTTTTAACTATGGCGAGATGAGGTTTCTACGTCACAAGAGGGTCCGTTTTCAGAAGGTACTATTATTTATGCCCAAAAATAAAATATTCCAGTTAATTTTTCCATCGAATTATGTCGTCAATCATTATTTATGTATGAATGGATCATTATTAACATGGTTTGAGTTAAAAGTTCTACTAAGGTGTACACGCCCATTATCGACTATGAGAGCACACCAAGTTTTTATTCCAACTGCAAGTTAGGAAACTTCTAATGTGTGGCCTACGTTAATCACCCTGTATACATTTTCATTTATAACGTTTTGAAGGCACTGACATGCAACATGGTTTTGTTCAATTGTGATTTTGTGTGGCAATAAAAGAAGGACGAATTGAAAATAATGTCTTTATTATTTTCCAGTTAATAATGCAATAAATGGTCTTTGAGACGAATTAAAAATAATGTATTTATTATTTCTCTTTCTCATATAATAAATAAGAAACTGATTTGGATGACATTTAGTATGGGTGATCATAATAACATTTCGAATGCATGAACAATGTTAGTTTAGTTGTTATCGATAAGGAGCGCCACTCTACAACCTTACTAAATTGCTTTTTTCATCATAAATTGTTTCCTGGTGAATTGAGAATTCAATTTCTTGTGAAAAAAGTCGCATCATAATAAACTATTCGTCGCCTTGAAAAAAAATCAATGTCACTGTTCATGTTCCGATGATAAACTCACAGGTGACAAAAGTACAAATTTCAATTTCTTGGAAATTCTTCACTGTCATAGCCTACTCACTTGAATACAGGCCTCAAAACAGCCCTTATGTGACCGAATGAAGCTCTTCCAACTAGCTCCCTCAAACATGTCTCTGCCAACATGGGAGGATCTAATGCATCTTCTGAAGTAACGTCAATATTGTTGGATTCCTTTTTGTGAAAGCCAGATTCCTGAAATAATAATAATCTCAACACGTTCCCTCTCTATGTGATATTATTTTTTAAAAACCAGACACCACTGTTAACATTGAAGTACGAAAAAACTGTGACCAGTTAAAATTTGTTACCCAGGTGGTGCAAGTGAACACCTCTATCGAGACCTCTATAAACCATTTCATCCTATCAACCCGCCTGTTTGAAACTCATGTATTTTTACGGATAATAAGGATGGCTATATCTGTTTTGAATTGAACTTAATTATTATTATGATAATGAAAAATGTGTTAAACGCAGTGACATTTTGGGGCAAATTATCTGATTTTTCCCACTAGGAATATATTGAAATAATACGCATATCTTTATTTTATAGAAATGAGGAGAGAAATCCCAAAAAATCAAGTGAAAATTATGTAAACACGTCGTAATTTTTGCCTAGCCCTGTATGCTTGAAACTTTTCCATTATATTGTCTTCTAACTCCACTTTCTGCCATCACATATCAATTTTGATTTGACAGTGATTAACACAACATAATATTATGTTAACATCAATTTCAAGGTTAACAGATATGCACAATCGATCACACACAAAAATTGTTTTCAATTTGAAAGGAATGATGAGATATTGAGGAACAAGTAACACACCGAAGTTAAGAAACAATATTTGGGAAAAAAGTAGTTCAGTGTACCACTTTTGCAGGAAGGAAACAAAACATTAGTTTTCAATGCACATATCTATAAACTGAAAACGTCATTCTTAATGGCGCTGCACAAACAGATATTTAATGCAAGAGCCATCAATTAACTTCATCACATCAACATTCCACATGAAAATATTCAAGATTACTACCTGCATGTTGAATAGTAGACTAGGCACAATTTTATCCATATGAACGGATTCCCAAATGTTTTCAACCAGATCATCAGATACAGTTTTTCTAACAACTGCTTGTAGGCCTTTTATTCCAGCTGTACGAATTTTGTCTCTTATTTCATCTCTTTCCCCACTATGACACATAGCAGAGAATTTACTAACAAAAAAGTCGTATCGTCGATGATAAGAAGGAGTATCTTCTTCTATATTTGCGAATTTCACAAACTGCAAAATAATTAAATTCAAAAGGGTCAATAATTTTTGGCAGTTGTTGTTTTGATATCTAAAGAGTGGTCCACTTTAAAGTAGCAACAGTTTCACTGTCGATAGAAGATCTTATTTTAAAGAAAACTTCCCATAGAAATTGGTCATATTCATTATTTATGGATTAGGGGAGCAAAATAAGCTTCTATGAACCGCAGAGTGTAAGTTATAGTAACAACAGGCCTAGGTCTATAAAAGCAAGTTTCGCCCATAATACATACATTTTATGCACAACCGTTTTAGACATTTATTTAGTGTCTATATAGAATTTTTTGTTTTTGAATCCACTGGTGAAGAAAGATCAAATGATAGTCCACTAGGGATAATTGAAAAAACTGTGAAATTACCTCGGAAATTACTTTACCGCCCGTTTACCTACTTTAACTTCTGCTGTACCACTTTATCTCCCTAGGGCGTTGAGGTGCTTTACACCTAGCGATAAACTGCTACTTTAGCCGGTCGTGCATAAAAAGCTTGGTTCACGAGTAATAAGGTTTTGACGTTGAAAATAATCTTGAAATTACAATTATGAACACTCCTTATGAGTTTTTATATCTCGAAAACGAAGCGTTTCACGACCAATGTCTATAGGTGCTTTTCTTCTTAAATAATGTTTAAATTTTTGACATTATGATACTCTAGGGTGGACCACCCTGTATAATCACCACCAAAACACAGTCGACGACCATATACAAACTCATAATTTCCTCATGTTGTCTTTTTAAATAGTATATGCGTTTGACAACATAAATTAGCTAGGTTCTTTCTGTTAATATTATGTTGTTCTATTATCATTCTCAATTTGCAATAAAAAACTGGAAATCATGATTTCCCTCAATTATGCGGATTATTTTGCCCGAGATTCTGAAGAATACGAGCTCACTGTAGGTCTCTCTGTAGGTACTATCATTATTATACAGAGTCTGTCACGACGAGCTTCGACTATCTTTATATCGAGAATCAGTCAAAAGAAATTTATGAAAATGTGCATGCTTATATTTGAGATTACGCTCTGTTCGTTTGAAATATTTTCGACAATGCAGTGTTGTCGCTTCTACTAGAAACTCGACTAGAACGCAACAACTTTGTTATTTTTAATGGAATACCCTGTATTTCATCTCTATATCTCAAAGTTGAAAAATCTCTATTTTGATAACGCTCGGAATACCCTATATCTCTGTAACCATTCCCGCTAGAACTCAAGTGTGAAATTAAATTAAATTCAGCTTTTCAGATAGAATCTAAAAATACAATGAAACATACGGTATTCCAGATTTGAAATAACAATGTTGTTGCTACTTTATAGTTGAAGCGGCAACACTGCAATGGCGGAAATATTTCGAACGAAGAGAGCATAGTGCACATTTTCATAAATTTCTTGACACTGATTCTCGATATAAAGTCTAAAAAGATAGTGTAAGCTCGTCGTGACATATCTTGTATTTTTACGTACGTACGTGAGAGATAAAAAGGTCAAAATTTGATTATTCTTCAAGAAGGCATCGTTTCGAAAAATCACGCATCTACAGAACATAATTCTCTATAAAACGCAATACTTACTGATGTAGTAGCTAAAATCTGCAGTTCTGGTTCTGTGGATTCCAGCAACTTTTGTACCATTTTCAAGAAACTTTCAACAAACAAATTCAATGTCGGTGCATGGCAAGCCAACAGGAGTTGATCCATTGCTTCCATTGCAATAATAACGAATCTAGCAAAACAAAACAATTCGGTTCAACAACCCTTCTATTCTATTGATCACAATCATGACATGCAATGGTAGGTAACTAACAACTACTAATGCATTCAGAAAGCCCTTTTTGCTAGATGATTGAGAAATCAATAAAAACACACATTCAACTCTGGGCAAACATCGTCTAAGAGGAGGAATATCTCAGGAATCGTATTATATTTCATTTGTTTTTTTTTAATTCTGATTCTGTTCTTTATTCTCTTCGGATATCATCGTAGGTGAATTCAATAAATGTAATTACGAATTGGAACAATGATTTTTAATGAAAATATCGGAAATTGGTGTGAATCTTGATGTACAATAATAATATGTAAGGAGTGAAAGATTTAAGATTTTACCGAAGTTTTGAAGATAACACCAATTTCTCAAAAAATGATTGAGGTCATGATATTTGAAATTTTCGAGGATATATTATTAATTCCCTCTTTTGAATTATCCCAATTATGGGATGGTTGACTATATCTCTCAGTTGCTCTCACTGAACAAAACAATATAATCTAAGAACAAGCCTAGATATAGGTAGTTGTTTCAACAGTGTACTGTACTCGTTGGAATAATCAGAAAGTTCATATAAACATATACTTCTGAACGCGTCGATTTCGAGATACAAGGTGTTGAAAATTCGAGTCTAAATAATGTTTTTTGATGAAAAGTTCGAAACTCGGAAGAAAGTTTATATTTCTCCACAAGAAATCTATACCCTTGATTTTTTTTGAAATATCGATTTGGGTATGGACAAAAAGTATATTTCCTAAAAGTTTCATGATGTTTTAAGAAACTGATTATTTTCTCGAACACGATAGTTACATCTTATCGAAACACATGGTCATTGAACTCACATTGGATATCTCATGTTAGGAAGTACGAGGAAGTATAGGAAATAGAGAGGAAGTACGGGAAGTATCAAGGAAGTACGGGAATTATCGAGAAAGTACGGGAAGTATCGAGGAAGTAAAGGAAGTCTTACTAGCCATTCTACATTATATTGGTTTCTGTGATTCTTCCGTTATGTTTTTCAAAAACTACCTATACAATCGTTTTCAAGCCGTCAAATTTGATAACCAACAGTCCTATTTCGTACACATCATGAACGGGGTACCGCAAGGATCAATTTTAGGCCCGTTACTCTTCATTTTGTACACTATCGATTTACACAGCATTGTCCGTTATTACAGTAGTCATTTTTATGCAGATGATGTTCAACTATACCTTTCCTCTACTGAAAGTAACTTAGCAATTTCAGTTCAGCAAATGAACGAGGATCTAGTCGCTATAGTTGACATGTCGAGCAAATTATGTCTTTTTATCAACCCATCAAAGTCGAATGTCATCTTGTTCAGCAGAAACAAAGACATCCGAAATAGGTGCCTACCTCATATCAACCTTCGAGTCAATAACGAACCCATTCCTTTCACAGAGACCGTTAAAAACCTAGGATTATTCATGGACAATACGCTACGGTACACGAAACATGTGAATGCTGTCATCAGAAGAGCATTTTGTAATCTGAAACTCATTTACTCCAACAGAATTTTTCTAGACAAAAAAAGTAAAATCATCTTATGCGAAGCCTTAGTTTTGTTTCACTTAAACCACGCAGATGTTGTCTACGGTCCAGCCTTACTCGAATCTGATCTGAACAGACTACAATTAATACAAAATTCATGTGTCCGTTAGGGGCCAGGTAGCCGTGCGGACAGAGTGTCTATATTCTAATTCGCATTCGCTTGCCGTTCGTGGGTTCGATTCCCGTCGACTGCAGAAATGTTTCTGATGGCCCCAGAAAGTGTTTGGGATCACACGTTAAAAGGTAAGGCCCCCGTCATTCCTTGCTCGCACAAGACTTTCGAAGACTTCTGAGGGTTGCTCGTAAGGGGGCAACCGAATGACGGATAGAACAATTTTACAAACAATCTGTGGCTTGAGTAAACGAAATAATTTATCAACCCCTTTGCGTGAACTGGGTTGGCTGAATGTTCAAAATCGCATCTTTCTGCATTCATCTGTGCTGTATCACAAAATCATCCTTGAGAAGAAACCAACATACCTATTTGGGAAAATATCATTCAGAACAGACGTCCACAACCTTAATATTAGATTCAAGTCGAATGTAACGGTCCACTAGTGGATCGTTCATAACTCCTGTCCATCATAGGTATATACACTCATGTTATGCTGCGGGACGCATTGTTTTCAGAGACTTGATCGCTGAAAATCCTACTTAGAAACTACTTTGGGATACTAACCATGTCAGTTTCAACACCCAGTAATAATCAAAATGAATCGTACTTACATTGAACCCTCGTCAAACTGTTTTCTCATTGTAATTAAATCAGGCTACCTACCCTGTTACCTGTAAAGGATTTCATCTGATGTGTTTTCGATTTCATATAAGTATTATTTCTTCAAGGGGTTATGTTTATTTTGCAAGTAAATATTAGCGAACAGCTGTTTAGACTATCACGTCTTATTCTTCCCGTTTTATATTCGTTTGGCACATCTGTGACCTAGTCGTAAGAAGCGTAAAACCTAATAATATATATTGCCAGTAAGGGACTTAGCAAGAAAGGTCTTCAAGGCAAAGCACTACTCACACCACACTCGGCACCTGTCACGGTTTCCGAAGTGTCCTGTGAGCGAGCAGCCTGATGTAAATAGGGTTTTTGGAAACGTCAGAGTACCTCCGGGAAGAACGACGATTCTCTCTCTCTCTCTAGGGGCCATTTTTCTGAAATGCCACGAAAATTCCGTGCTGTTGAACTTAAACAGAAAATTATGAAAATTTTGGTGATGAAGGCCGATTAACACCTTTAGGCAAGTATAATAACACTTCTGCAATAAAGTACACTGAAAATTATATATTGAACAATAACAAAATACATCGAAAAACACATGCATCATGATGACTTCTTTTCAGGCCTTCAGGTATAGGTATACCGCCATTTTGGTATAATAGTCGTGTAATACACGACGCCATAATGATGGTGACAAGGTTTAAAACCCTGTGATTTCAACCACAATTGCTGCTGGTGCAATATAATGTTTGTCCTTTGTTCCTGTTTATGAAAGTTATTTTTCTGGACCCATGCTGATATGCCACTGAGAACAGTTCCTCCGAATTTGGTATATTCGTGATGGATGATGAGATTCATTTGGTAAAAGCTACGTTACACTTATAGGGATGACCTACTGTAAGTAGATTTTTCACCTAATTTTGCCAACCTGATGAGAAGATGGACTGCACCATTTGATTTGGATTTAATACTATTACTTATTACTGTCTGCCTTTATATACCCTCTCCTTTGTGAGAAAGGGAGTATCAGCGCTGATAGTCCGTTTCATAGGACTTGGTTATATTTTCCAGAATTTATATCACACCTGTGGACCATTTATCCAGTTTTTAATGTTTCCTTTTGAAGCCACAGTGAGGCTAAGTTTAAGATTTAAGTACTGCTTATCTTAGTATATATCTGTACTAACGAATTCTGACTAATACAGTTTTGTATATTATTGGATCATAAAAGATAACAAAACTGTTGCAACTATTCATAAGATATACTAACAGATTATTCACTCTCAGTAATTTCTTAAGCTAATGTTAATTCTTAAATACTCCAGGTGTTGGGTCCAATTTAAATTTTGAATATTACATATTATTATGATATAATTGTACTTTTGAGATAATTCGGTCATTATAGCATGGATTTAGAAAAACTCCAGTACTGTTGATATTTTTGTTTTGTCTCACCCTATTCCTTCCCAGATAATACTGGGTGGCGCCCACATTTACCTATTTTTATGAAATTAAATCCACGACCATCTCTACCACTGAAGAGCAACCGTGTAGTGAGGCCATAATTTCATCTCTTGTTGAAATTACGTCACATAAAATTGGCGCACAACGTGGAAGGCCTTGATAGTTTCTTTTAGTTTTTATATAACAAAGTTCTCATTAAAATTTCATAGCCGGAGCAAGGTAAATTTCCCCATAACCCTTCCTTATTCTTCCTGGACAAAACAAAAATATTACAGTTATTTGTAAATTTTTCAAATTTCCTGATATCTTTTTATTTGGAAAATATCATATACAGGGTGAAGGCAGTGAGCCAGAGTGTTCAATGTACATACTTTGGTAAGTAATTTATTCAGCTGAACACTGAAATTTTTTGTTTCTTGACATATTTTCTGGTTGTTGAATAAGTCTCAAGAATTTGCATTATAAAGGGTGATCAAAGTTAATTGGGTAAGTTAACCTCATTAATTGATTTTCTTTACAAATTTCATATTTCTGATTTCATGAAATAATTATCCCAGTACTTCCTGATTAGGTACACTTAGCATTGAGTCACTGATTATACAGGGCGTTGCGCAAATTAGCATGTTGTGATCCAGTGACATTATTCTGCAAATAAATCTACCTGGTTTTCAATTTTCCACAAGTCTTACTGAGTTTCCTTGTTAACAAGAAACTCTACGCTTTAGTACTTGTACAGGGTGTTGTCCCGAGTGATTAACTTCAGAATTCTTTGGTCATTTCATACTTTGAATATTTGAACCATGAGGGTTAACTACAACATAGATCCTGTTCATCTTAGGACTAGAGAACTAAACTATGAGCTTTTTATACGGGGTGTTGCAGTTGATAGAGCTGATACCGATCAAAAAAGAAAATTTTTGAGAAGGGAAATTAGACGTGATCTTTCTAGATCTGATGTTGAGTATACCACTCCTAACTTTAATTTTGAGAATGAACGGGAAGCAATCGATGAAAGTATTGAATCTATCACGGATGTAGTGAATAACTTTGATGGTATGAATGAGGAAGTCTTTAAGAGAGTGAGAAGTCGTATTAATCACATTTTTGGCCGTCTTTATAGAATTCCAAATGATACAGAGAACTTAGAAATTTCAAATTATCGAGGAGATAATATTATTTTGATTAGTACACTTGAAGAAG